ATTTCATGAGAAATTTAATTGACTGGTGGGCGTTGTTTGCATGTTTGATAAAATCATCCAGTTTTTGTTGAGATTCAATCCATTTCATGTCAACATCATCGATGAAACGGAACCAATAGATAAAGATGTTGATCTAAAGCTCTGTCTTGGTTCCGTTTCATCGATGATGCTAACAATAACAGCCGCAATGACTTATCACAGTACAAACAGAAAGGCGAAGCGAAATAGTTTCGTTTGTTTTAACATACAATCCCGCCTTTACTAACCTTTCCCGTTTCAGCCGTGCCAATTGGCAGATTATTGCCAAACACCCAAAATTATCCAAGATCTTTCCCAAACCTCCTGTCTTAGCTTTTCGGAGACCCAAAAGTCTGAAAGACTTATTTGTGAGAGCTGATGTCTCCTCTAATAAAAGCTCTTCAACTGCAGGATGGTGCAAGTCGTGTGGTAACAGACGATATCTGACTTACCAACAAATACTGAATACTCAACCATTTACTTGCCACTCCACTGGGTCCGTATACACTATATATTGCAAAGTAACTTGCAAAACCCAGAATGTTGTATACCTTCTTCAGTGTCGATGTGGCATGCAGTATGTTGGCGAGACAGAACAGACATTCAACAACCTGCAAGCCCGATCCCCCGTAAGTCGTCATTTGAGATCACCTGGGCACGCTCAAGGTGATCTCAAAAACCTTACCATCACGATCATAGACCACAACGAGGGTTGGTCAAGGGCCAACAGACTTGCTCGGGAAAGTTTTTGGATAAGAAAGTTAAGGACAGTTTCCGCAGAGGGCATTAATGAAAAAACATAAAATGAGTCGCTACCATCACTTGTTTCCTGTAACTCAGGCTTCAGTACAGGACTCTCACAGTTTTAAGGAATTTATTCCTGCTTCCAAACATCTATATTGAAAAAAATTATCATCGTATTGATTCGTGATAATTTGTATGACGATCAAGATTATTATTTCAGTTCAACTACCACATGTCATGATAAGAATCATTTGACATCTTACTGATGAAGGATAGTTATCCGAAATATTTAATATTTGTTCATGATTTTACTATTTTTTTGTGATGTTGTACCCTTTTAGACTTGCTTATTATATATTATATTTTGTAGTGTACTGTATCATATTTATATGATCCATCGCCTCGTAAGATTTATCGTTGGCTATTATTCAGACATTTTATATATATATTTATCATATACTTATAGAAAATAATGGTATAATTGTACCCCATGATAAAACTAATTTGTACATATATTTATTCATTAAATTTGAAGAATTGCTTTAGCCGTGTGATATGACTTTTGTTATCAACTGCTTCCGGTTTATATCAACTGCTTCCGTTTTATATCAACTGCTTTCGGTTATTAGCGCATGCTTTTCTGTAACGTTATCGCATGACAATTCGACGTCATTCGGCAAATTCCGGAAAATACACCTCAATGGTACGTATTTTGTGTAAAACATAACAAAGTTGGATGAAAAAGATATTAGGAATCAAGAAAATATATTATTAAAAAATGCAAAACAAATATTACAACAAATGCATTTTTTCAATGTTTTAAAAATAGTTTTTGTCTGTATGTCTTCTGCTGAAGTATATGATAAAAAGAACATAACATGTCATTTTTCATATCAGATCCCTTATCAGCCCATGGTCAAAATCATCCCTCGAGCCTATCGGGCTGATATCATGACCTAGGGCTGATAAGGGGTATGATATGAAAAATGCCATAAATATATATTAAAAATTAAATACACAAAAAGAGTTTTAAAAGCAGCATTGTCTAGCGCTTTCATCCATCTTGGGACTTTTCAAGACTATGAACGTCGTTATGGGGAACACATGTGTCTATCCTAAATTGAGGTAAATTATATGGCCTTCCAAATACCGTTTCGATCCCTAACATCACTGAAGAGACATCAATTGTCGAAATCCAGATATGGTGTACAAATTTTTGCACCTCATGTTTGTGGTATACCATCTTTTCCACACGTTTATTGTTTTCTGTTTGGTATTAAATTAATATTAAGATCAATTTCGTTAGATCTAGTGATCAATTTATTTGGCAATCGCCAATGGCAGTCAGCAGGGTTTAAGAACACCAGTTGTTCGACTTGTTAGTCAAATGCGTTTTGTTGAAATAGACTTTTTCACTTTTTTTGGTCTTTTGGAAATTGTTGTTTGTGCTGTATTGAGACCCCTCTACCAAGAAATTTGTTTTACATGCACACGTATAAAAATTGCGGAAACCTATGATTGCGTTGGATAAAAACCGCAAGTCTAAATTGAAAACAACGTTCAAACCTATGATTGCGTTGGATAAAAACCGCAATTTTTATACGTGTGCATGCAAAACAAATTTCTTGTTAGAGGGGTCTAAATACAGCACAAACAACATTTTCCAAAAGACCAAAAAGGTGAAAAAGTATATTTTAACAAAACGCATTTGACGAACAGGTCGAACAACAAATGTTCTTAAACCCTGCTGACTGCCATTGGCGATTGCCAAATAACCGGATCACCGATGTAATAAATGGATCTTAATTATAAATTAAATACTAAACAGAAAACAATAAACTTGCGGAAAAGATGGTATACCGCAAACAAAAGGTGCAAAGGTTTTTTGTACACCATATCCGGATTTCGACAACTAATGTCTCTTCAGTGATGTTAGGAATCGAAACGGTATTTGGAAAGCCATACAATTTACCTCAATTTGGGATAGACTCTTGAATTTTCAGGAGTTAAAATAGGATGAACGGATCATATAAGCCCGAAGGCAAATATAATACAAGCCCAAACGAAAAAATATAAACAAGTCTAAATTGAAAACAACGTTCAAACCTATGATTGCGTTGAATAAAAACCGCAATTTTTATACGTGTGCATGCAAAACAAATTTCTTGTTAGAGGGGTCTAAATACAGCACAAACAACATTTTCCAAAAGACCAAAAAGGTGAAAAAGTATATTTTAACAAAACGCATTTGACTAACAGGTCGAACAACAAATGTTCTTAAACCCTGCTGACTGCCATTGGCGCTTGCCAAATAAACGGATCACCGATGTAATAAATGGATCTTAATTATAAATTAAATACTAAACAGAAAACAATAAACTTACGGAAAAGATGGTATACCGCAAACAAAAGGTGCAAAGGTTTTTTGTACACCATATCCGGATTTCGACAATTAATGTCTCTTCAGTGATGTTAGGAATCGAAACGGTATTTGGAAAGCCATACAATTTACCTCAATTTGGGATAGACTCTTGAATTTTGAGGAGTCAAAATAGGATGAACGGATCATATAAGCCCGAAGGCAAATATAATACAAGCCCAAACGAAAAAATATAAACAAGTCTAAATTAAAAACAACGTTCAAACCTATGATTGCGTTGGATAAAAACCGCAATTTTTATACGTGTGCATGCAAAACAAATTTCTTGTTATAGGGGTCTAAATTCAGCACAAACAACGTTTTCCAAAAGACCAAAAATTAATGTCTCTTCAGTGATGTTAGGAATCGAAACGGTATTTGGAAAGCCATACAATTTACCTCAATTTGGGATAGACTCTTGAATTTTGAGGAGTCAAAATAGGATGAACGGATCATATAAGCCCGAAGGCAAATATGATACAAGCCCAAACGAAAAAATATAAACAAGTCTAAATTGAAAACAACGTTCAAACCTATGATTGCGTTGGATAAAAACCGCAATTTTTATACGTGTTCATGCAAAACAAATTTCTTGTTAGAGGGGTCTAAATACAGCACAAACAACATTTTCCAAAAGACCAAAAAGGTGAAAAAGTATATTTTAACAAAACGCATTTGACTAACAGGTCGAACAACAAATGTTCTTAAACCCTGCTGACTGCCATTGGCGATTGCCAAATAAACGAATCACCGATGTAATAAATGGATCTTAATTATAAATTAAATACTAAACAGAAAACAATAAACTTGCGGAAAAGATGGTATACCGCAAACAAAAGGTGCAAAGGTTTTTTGTACACCATATCCGGATTTCGACAATTAATGTCTCTTCAGTGATGTTAGGAATCGAAACGGTATTTGGAAAGCCATACAATTTACCTCAATTATATATATATATTAGTGCGTCTGAACTAGTGACGACTCTGCAACAGATTTTTTTTCCGTCGGATCACCAGTAGTGATCCGATGGATAAAATCTGTGGTAGAGTCGTCACTGGTTTGGACGTACTTATAATATAATTAATTTTGTAACTGCATCTTACATTAATTTGTAGGATTCTTTACAATAGATAATTCAGCTGATCTGTAACAATTCCATCTTCATACCTTATATATGTACTGTGTTACGACGCTAGATAAAAACTGAGGAGGAAAGGTAAATATACGGATCTTACATTGTTGGGCTGTTGTTTAGACAAATTATATATTCGAATCCCGGCGAGGGAAGAACAAAAAATTTGCGGAAGCAAATTTACAGATCTAACATTGTTGGGCTGATGTTAAGACGAGTTGTATATACAGAATGTACACAGCCATGTATCACCATTAATGCTGGTGATCCGATGGATAAATCTGTTGAAGAGTTGTCACTGGTTCAGACGTACTTATATATATATATATATATATATATATACAAGTCTAAATTGAAACAATGTTTAAACCTATGATTGCGCTGGATAAAAACCGCAATTTTTAAACGTGTGCATGCAAAACAAATTTTTTGGTAGAGGGGTCTAAATACAGCACAAACAACATTTTCCAAAAGACCAAAAAAGTGAAAAAGTATATTTTAACAAAACGTATTTGACTAACAGGTCGACCAACGAATGTTCTTAAACCGCGCTGACTGCCATGGCAATTGCCAAATAAACGGATCACCAGATGTGACAAAATGTATCTTAATCATTAATTTAGTACCAAACAGAAAACAATAAACTTGCGGAATATATATATATATATATATATATATATATGTTGATCAGGTTGTGATACTGGAAACAATTTATAAGTATGATGTATTACAATAATATTTCTTTGACCTTTACCTTTAAAACCGTTTAAACTAAGACTTATAAAAAATATTGGTGTATAATAAACAATGAGAATAGAATCCATACTGTCTTTATCACATAACATAAGTTGTTAAGATGTCTAAGTTTTCTTAGCTTTACCTCTTCAAAAGTAATGTTCGTTTCCACATTTTGTATTTTCTGTCCAGGAAACCCACCACCTATGTCCAAGTGGTGCATGTTAAATCCATTAGCCAACCCAATGTCAAATACTTTTCGTGACTGCTCAATTGCTGCCTCGAAAGCTCATGTTTCTAGACAACCACTCCCAACATGGAAACTAGTTTTTAAAAGATTCATACGAAATAATTGTCAAAAAATTGAGATTATCTCAAAAACTATAAATCATTTTATTCAGATTGTATTCGGTCTTGATTTTATGTGATTGTTACTCAACTTCCATGAACTACATACTTAACAAAACGCATTGAGTGTTAAGTTATTTATAGAAATCCCCGTGCCGTATTGTTATTTTCTATCTAACGTACACAATGAATTCCTTAGAACTTACATTGTTTTCTAATGTATGCAAATTCAGAGGGATCATTAATGCATTCAGTTTGTCATCAAATGGCCAAAAACAGATCGTTTATATATGACCAACATGAACATTACGTTCAGTGAGTTAACGAGAAACAACAAACACTAGTAACCTTTCTTTTAAGTTTATACCAACCGTCACAAAGTACTGTTACATTCATATCCACATTTTCAAAGTAATGGTATAGTAATGTTTGCTTTTAAGGAGATTGAACAATGTAAATATCACTGAAATGTACTGTGATGGAGGGCTTTCGGTAAATGCTGGTAAACTGGGTTAATTTAAACATATTTAAATGTTCAGAAACAAAACATACTGGGTTGATTGAATGATTCAGTTTTGTTGATATTTAATTCAATTATTTGTAAAAATTATAGTTTGGTCGTTGATAAATTATAAATATTGTTCTATTTGGGAATTTCGGGATGAGATTGTTAATTTTTTTTTGGTTAAATTTATTGACCACTTTTCTAGATTCGTGGCATTTTATAACTTAAAATACTGCACTGTACATAACTGCAGATGTATATTTGTTTATCTAGGTTGCTTTCTCATTTACGTATACTTCACAGCTCGTTTTTGTAGTACGTATACTGCACAATAGATTAATGTAAACTCTGACTTTTCTTTAGGAAAGATAATCGTGTGAAACAGGCTCATTCAAGACAAAAATATTCACAAATTAAGGGAAAGCCATACTTTATTTTTAGAATAAGATGTCATTTAACAAGCTATATCTATTGGCACTTTAGTTAATTGTTTGCGATTAAACACCGTATCTTGATGATCTTACCTTACACCAATCACATTTAATTTGAGTTTCATAGCAATTTGCAAGAGTTCCGATGCTCTCAAAGGATGGCATCCAAACTTTCTTCCTAGGTAAAATTTAACCTTGTAGTTTGATTGTGGATTTATTCTAAGCACCAATCTACAAATAAAAACCCAGTTTTGTAATAAAACAATTTTCTTTTTTAGGTTTATAGACATCTTTTGATTTTGTCATTGCAACCTGTTGTCAAACCACACCAATCATAACCAACCCACATACATTCCATTCATATCATAATTCAAATAGAGGCCTGAATAAAAAAAAAAACTGTTACTAACTTGTACAATTTTTTATAATTTTCATAAAACGATCATATCCAACATGTCCAAACCAATTTTCCAATTAAAATAAAGATCATAATTATTTGACCCTGACAGTAGAATTCAATTCGAATAAGTCAAAAGCGATTAACGATATAACGTTTTGATAGATGTTTTTATGTAGAAACCTACATAATATACAAATCTAACATATTTGCATGTATTTGAAGATGGTATAAACATTATGAAAAAACATCTTTTTTTTTAAAATCAAAATATTACATACTTTGCCTCTGGGTAGACTTTCTTGATCTTTTCAAGTTCATTCTCACAATCGAATGTCATCAAAGAAACACCATTATCAGCAGCATATTTGAGAAATGATGGTTGTTTGAATGTGTTGGCGTAAATAATCCTTGATGGATCAACTCCAAGGTCTAATATCTTCTGTATCTCAATCTGTAAGTTAAATTGATAAGTATAATGTATAGTTCTATGTTTTGTATTGCTAACTAAGATTTTCTACCTCCGGGTATATATTGCCTTCGCAGTATTTTGATAATTTTGATAATTTTGGCTTTTAATGCTCTTCAGCTTCATGATCTTCGAATTTTTATTCGAGCGCCACTAATGAATCGTATGTAGACAAAACGCGCGTGTTGGGTACCACATTATAAGCCTAGTATCTTCAAACCAATATAATATATTTTCAATTATGAAACTGAATTTCATTCTTCTGTAAATTTGTTGCTTATATCAATGCAGCAACCAAAATAGTTTGTTAGTAGTTGATATACGCTGATTTATAATAATGACACTTATCACAAAAATAAATACGTAAACAATTGTCTTCATGTTAGAAAGAAACAAGGATTTCAAGTCCATTGGGTTTCCTGCTGTAAAATATTAACGGTACCAATTTGTCTGCACCAGATGCACATTTTGACAATAAATGTCTCTTCAGTGATGCTCGTAGTAAACTATATATGTTCTATTATTAGTCATTATGCAGTTGTTTTATTTACATGTCCCCAATTATTAGCAAGTCATGGTTGAACATTTTCAGCAACCTTGATTAGATTTACAAAAACAAGTTCGATTACTTTACTTGCACAATCAAATGAAAGTCCCATATCTGCTAGGATCCTAATGACAGGGTCAACATCATTACATTTTATTGCTGTAAACAGAATTAATAACACTATTAGGGGAGGGTTGGGCGCCTGCCACAAGTCAGAAGCCTGTTATTCAGTGGTTATCGTTTGCTTCTGTATATCATGTTTGTATTTCGTTTATTGTGTATTACATAAATCTGGCCGTTAGGTTTCTCGTTTGAATTGATTCACATTTGTCACTTCGGGGACTCTTATAGCTGACTATGCGGTATGGGTTTTGCTCACTGTTGAATGCCGTACGATGACATATAATTGTTAGCTTCTATGTCATTTGGTCTCTGGTGGAGAGTTGTCTCATTGGCAATTTAACCACATCTTCTTTTTTTTATATTATTTCAAAATCGAAACAAAATACATTATTCTTATGATCAGGTAATTTTATAATTCTTAGTAAGAGGATGAACTAAATTATACTACATACACTTTAACAGGAATGAGAAATAACAAGGAGTTGATCATAATAAGTCGGATCGTCTTCAGAATAAAAACTAAAATAACTAAAAGTTGCAACATTTTCGTGACTTAAGTAAATGTGACATCTACCTTAAACATTTTCCTTTACAGGATGTTAATCAAACTGGCATGGCATCACATTGTTATACATTATTAAAAAATTTCACTCGACCGAAATAAAAAAAAAATTAATGTTTTGGATATCCAGCTACTCCATGTGTATTTATTTTAAATTCACGTTTTGTTCTTATAAAATGTACTGGTTTCAAACATTTCATACTTTTGCATTTTTAATCTTTATTTTGCAACATTTTCGTGACGTCATTAAATGTGACATCTACTATAAACATTTTCCTTTACAGGATTTCAATCAAACTGGCATGGCATCACATTATTATAAATCCTAAAAAATTTCACTCGACCGATAAAAAAAGATTAATATTTTGGCCATCCAGCTACTCCATGTGTATTTATTTTTAATTCACGTTTTGTTCTTATAAAAGTGTTCTGGTTTCAAACATTTCATACTTTCATACTTTTAATCTTTATTTTGCAACATTTTCGTGACTCCAGTAAATGTGACATCTACTTTAAACGACAAGTGGAATGAATATCATTTTATAATTAGCCACTTTGAGCATTAATTAACACAAAGAGACGTTACAATATGATATTATCTTATTGAAATTATGTGTAGAAGCAATGTTGGACTTGCTACGGTTGGGATAATTGAATAAAGGCGAATGCCTCCCTCCCCGGGGTTCACCAATCAAAGTTTTGTTACCAATGTTGTGCGTTGATGACCTGTTGATAGGCCTTTTTATTCGCTTACTTTTCATTTATATTAGGCTTTTAAACACGTACCATAAAATGGTTCTACTCGAGGGAAACACTCCTGCCAAATTCTGTGTTTTCTTATGATATCTCCAAGGTTTCCGATAGCAAATGCATTGTCCTGTAGTAGGTGAGATATATTGAGATTTTGAAGTTATCATATAGAATGCTTATATATATATATATGATAAAACCCGAAAACATCGCGATGTCTCATGCAAAAAATCTGTATTACTACTTTTCATCAGTTATATTGATATTTATATTTGATTTTTAAGAGCTTGTTAGTACAATTGAAACTTTAATAACTCTATAGTAGGAAAAGCTTTTTACTGTATGGTGGCAAAATTGTGTTAACAATAAAAAAAAAACACAAATACTTCTTTATTGTTTTGAGGTTTGAAAAATGCCAAGCATGTCATACTACTTGGACGAAATCGTTAGAATTTCTGTAAGGTTGAAGCTAAATAAGTAAGATTAAATGATTAAGGGGTTATAATTCATTGATTTAGAAACTCAATGACAAAATAAATCCACTTATCTTTTTGAATAATTAAATTTTATTTTGTTCAAACTTCAAATATTTTATGTCCCCTAGCGCTATAACAATGACACTAAGGTTCCTTCCTGTAGTGATAATTGCTATTGAAACCAGGGGGTTTAATTAGCGAAAATATTATACATTTATATTTTGTGTTAGTTGCATTTTACAAAGTATTTCCTCAATCAACATCCACATTCCACAATCAACCGGCTAAATGTTTACTCGATCAACGTAGATCATAAACTTATAAATAATAGAACATTAATGTGAAACTGATGATGATGATGATCTTAAAATCTTTTGCACTTGATCATTTGTTGTAATGATTAATACAGCCATCACGATCTTATGAAAAAAGAAATCATAACCTAGTTACATTGGGAATGTTATCAAATATAAATGAACAAAAGCTGATAACACTGCAAGTATAACATATTGATAGACGGACAGACTGTTCCACAAAAAATACAATATGTTCTATGTTCAAAAACATTCTATGCGGTGAATTTCAATTGCGCAAATGTGAGGTATATGACATCTTTCGTAATTTTATTTGACTTCTAATAGCCACACATTGAGTGTTCATTTTGTTTAGTTTTCATTAGTTTATATATACTGTTTATTTTGTTTGTTTGTTTCTAATTTTTGCGTAGGGATTTATTGTCTCCGTCTTGCAATCGTTCATAGATAAATTAGTTTTCTTTGTAGCACTTATCTTTTGAACACGTTTTAGTATTATTCATTTTTAATTGATTTAATATTCATACTATTTTGATTCATTCTTAGCTATATGATAGTAAAAAGTAAATGAAAAACAACTCATTACCTCATGTCCAAAAGCTTTAATTTTCCCCTGGATTTGGTTACTAATGGGTGGTAATTTTTCCACTATTTCTACACGTGTATTAGAATTGACATTGGTCATAATGAATTTCTTTTTAGCCTGTAAAATATGTAAAACGTTATAAAAACCATACAATATTCTACATGCACATACAAAGATATCTCAAATGTATAGAAACATAAGCCGCTCAAACTAAATTTTCTCTTAAAAGATATCGTGACACACTTTCGTAAGCAATTACGAGTTGTCTGTTTTGTAACGTGTATGATGTAAATACATGTACCGGTCCTGTCTATCCTGTATTCATGAGCAACACGACGAGTGCCACGTGTAGAGCAGGATCTTCTAAGCCTTCGGAGCACCTGATATCAACCCCGGATTTTTTTTTTTAATAACATAATTAAATATTTATTTCAAATATTGGCTTGTTGCAATACCCTTCAGGAGTCCAAGCTCCTCCTGATGTTCCCTGTTACATTCCACTAAGTTAATTTCCAACATTTAAGGATATTTTTATAAAAATCTGGGATGTTTTCAATGCTTTCGTCTGGCTTATTCCCACTGTTTGTTTTACCCAAAATTATAAAAAAAAGTGCTGAGGTATAATTTTTCAACCTCCTTCACAATCAGTTACTAGTCTTTAAACCCACATAGCTTTTAAAGCAGTGAAATAACTTCTTATATCTATCATATCTAATCCCCCCTTTTCATATGGACCAATGATTTAATTTCTTTTTACTTTATCTGGTTTATTATCCCAAACAAATTCAAAACAACTTTTTTCTTTTTCTTTTAAATATTTCTCGGGAATTATACGGGCAGTTCCCACAAAAGTGAAAATAGGCACAATTAGTGTATTTAAAATTGTAAGATTTCCTTTCTGCCAAGAACAAAATAATTTATTCATCTTTTCAATTTTATTTTTCCAAATTAGTTTTTCACATTCCTCTCTACAATGCCCAAAGTATATGACAAGAGTTTTAACTGGTCCATTGCTCCAGTTGATTCCCTCAATTTTGTCTTTACATGATTAAGCTTTCCTACCCATAACCCCTCTGTTTTATTTCTATTTAATTTCAATCCTGAATAAGAACCAAATATTTCAATTTAGTTCATAGCTAACTGAACGTCATATTTAGAACAACAAAATAAAGTAGTATCGTCTGCTAGTTGAGAAATTTTTATGCTATGATTTTGGCAATCCAATTTGATTTTGATACCTTTAAAATCGGTATTGCTTCTTAATCTTGACGCCATGATTTCCACCGATAAGACAAATAATAAAGCCGATAAAGGACATCCTGGGGGTATACCCCTGGTGTTTTTAAAGACATCAGATATCCAACCATTATTCATAACACATGTTTGAATATCGCAATATAAAGTCTTAACCCATCTTATAAAAGAATCATTAAATCCAAAATGTTTTAAAACTGAAAACATAAAATTCCATTCTAAAGAGTCAAACACTTTAGAAACATCAACAAAGATTATAGCCCTTCAAAATTGTAAATCAGTGAAATAAATAATATCTTGTATCTGTCTAAGATTAAAACCAATAAATCTATTCTTTACATATACAGTCTGGTCTTCTTTAATAAGTTTTGGTAGGATATTTTTCAATCGTTGTGCAAACCCGGATTTTGATGGGGTTCAGCCTTTAGGTTTCTTTGTTGTGTTTTTATACTATTGTTTGTAATTTGGTATTTTTCTTTTTTTTTTTTTGCAATGGCGTTGTGAGTTTATTTTCGACTCACGAGTTTAAATGTTCTTTTGATATCTGTCGCCTCTCTTTTCCTTAAATTTGGATGTTATTATCGAAGTTTTATAACTGGTATTAAATAAAAAGTAAAATAACAAAAATACCGAACTCCAAGGGAAATTCAAAACGGAAAGTCCTTTATAAAATAGCCAAATCAAAAGCTCAAACACATCTAACGAATGGAAAACAACTGTCATATTCCTGACTTGGTACAAGCTTTTCCTTATGTACAAAATGAGGGAATTAACCTGGTTTTATAGCTAGCTAAAAAGTAAAATCACAAAAATACTGAACTCCGAGGAAAATTAAAAAAGGAAAGTCCCTAATCAAATCGCAAAATCAAAAGCTCAAACACATCAAACGAATGGATAACAACTGTCATATTCCTGACTTGGTACAGGCATTTTCTTATGTAGAAAATGGTGGATTAAACCTGGTTTTATAGCTAGCTAAACCTCTCACTTGTATGACAGTCGCATCGAATTCCAATATATTGACAACGATGCGTGAACAAAACAAACAGACACAATAGGTAAAAATGTCAAAAATAGGAATACAGCAGTCAACATTGTGTTATCATCTTAATCACTATAAAAACAAACAAATGTAACAAAGAAGCAAAAAAAGTCATACATCAAATTTAACATCCTCATTTTGCTTTTTTATTGTACGCTTTAATTCATTTAAGTAAAATCCACCCATAAAGGATGAAAGGTTTTCAGTACTGGCGTAGAATCGCGCGTTTAACGTCACACAGGTAGATATAAAATAATTGTGTCGTTCAAAGTATGACGGGATACATAAGTACAGAGTCACGTGAAATGGATATCACAAAAAAACAGACTTAACAGTAAAAGTAATATTAATAAAATAAAATAATTTTGTCGTTCAAATTATGACTGGATACATAAGTACAGAGTCACGTCAATGGATATCACAAAAAACAGACTTAACAGTAAAAATATATTAATAAAGACAAATCAAAGAATACTATAACACGTTATTAAGATGATAAACAACGTCAGAACGCAGAATCTATACTTCAAGACCATCGTGTATTATTTGTGAAGTTGATACGGAATATTTATCAACAAGGTCTTGGTACCTTTCGATCAACTTTTTTAGAAAAAGGGCGAGACGTTCTTTGACATACCCCTGGTTCATCAACTTTCTACTCAGACACTGGTGACGTTTTACAAAGTCTGAAAAGGAGCTGCAAGCTCTTGAATACCGAATAAGTAGGGAAATGTATATCCCATATGCAGGTGAAGCTGGTATATTGCTACTAAGGTGGAAAAAATTGATAATTTCAAAGTTAAAATCGTCTTGTTTGTCATAGATTCTGGTACTGAGATGACTGTGTATGACAAATTCGAGGTATAAGTCTAAAAATGAGGCGGAGGAAGCCGTGGCTGTTGTTTCTTTAATTTCTAGTTCAGGGGGATATATTAATGGAACCCAATCAGAAAAGTTCGGATTGTTAATGGAAAGAATATCATCAATATACCTGAATGTGAAATTAAATGATCTGGATTCTTTGATCTTCTTGTTTTTGACAAGTGTCTGAAGGAACTCCGACTCGTATGAAAATAAGAAGAAGCCGGCAATGAGAGGCGCACAGTTTGTTCCCATATCAACACCGAATGCTGTCAGGTGTGTACTTTGTGTGTTTTGTGTTTTGTATTTTTGTTAGTTGTTTTTGGTCTTTTCTTTCGATCTGATGAGTTAAACCCTTTTCAACTGATTGTTATAGTTTGTATTTATGTTGTGTTGAGATGTTACACCACTCTCTCAGGTTTGTGGGAGAGTTGGCGTCCCGCTAATATGTTAATCCCACCAGCTTCTATGTATGCCTGTCCTAGTCAGGAGTCTGTAGTTCAGTGGTTGTCGTATGTTGCTTTTATCAAATTGATTTTTTCGTTTATTGTTTTTACATAAATCAGGCCGTTAGTTTTTTCGTTTGAATTTATTTACATTTGTCATTTCTGTGCCCATCATAGCTTGCTATGCGGTTTGGGTTTTGCTCACTGTTGAAGGCTGTACAGTGATCTATAATTGCTTACATTAAATGTCATTTGGTATCTGGTAGAGAGTTTTCTCGTAGGCTATCATACAACATCATTTTAATTTCTAACTCTAAATATTAAGAAACTTACAGTTTACTATACGTTATATTGAAACGTAATGCGTTTTAGGTATTTCTCTTTCGAATTAAACAATATGTGTCCTTAAATATACAAAGTTTATGACTTATCTATGTCGATATTAGATAACGTTAATAGTTTAAAGTTCGACGGAACAAGAAATTATCACAAGAAAGATAAATAGAAATTCGAACATAACGAAAACCCTATAAATTTTCATATGAGTTTTTATTAGAGTTATTTGACTTTAATGGTGAGGTTTTAAAGCTTTTATTTAATAGGTATATTATTTGAAAACAATAGGCGCAAACAGGAAATACTAAAATTCATAAACATGCCATAGACTTTTAATTCATCTCAAATATCAATAATATGTTTTTGGATTTCATTCAATGCAAAAACAACAAAACAAATATAAAAATGACATATAATTGCCTGGTGAGTAATTCTAGTCCTTGAAAGGTCCATTCTTTAAGTTTTATAAATGTCAATTATATATCAACATTATCTGTTTTTCCTTACTTTCGTATGACAAATAAGCATCATTATGCATTGCCTTAAAAGTATTTATATACGAGAGTATTGTTCA